CTTACCATTTTAACCATTTAAAATGTACAGTTTTGAGCCATGTGTTGTTGTACAATTATCACCACCATCCGTCTCCAAAACTTATTCACTTTCCCACCTGAAACTCTGTACCCGATAAACACTAATTCTCCATTCCTCCTTCCCCTGGCCCCTGGCAACCAACATTCTATTTTCTGTCTCTATAAATTTGACTATTCTAGGTACCTCCTATAAATGGAATATACAGTATTTTTTTTTTATATAACTGACTTATTTCACTTAGCACAATGTCTTCAGGATTCCATGGTGTGGCATGTGACGGGACTGCCTTCTTTTTCAGACTGAATAATATACCATTGCATGAATATACAATATTTTGTTGATCCATACATCCATCAGTAGACACTTGGGCTGCTTCCACCTTTTGGCTATCATGAATAATGCTGCTATAAACATGGGTATACAAACATCTGTTTCAGTCCTTGCTTTTGCTTCTTTTGGGTGTATACCCAGAAGCAGAATTGCTTGATCAATTCAATGTTTCATTTTTTGAGGAACCACCATACCTTTTTCCACAGTGGCTGCATCATTTTTCTTTCCCACCAGCAAGCAATGCACAAGGATTCCAATTTCTCCACATCCTCACCAATGCTTGTTATTTTCTGTTATTTTGCTAATAGCCATCCTAATGGGTGTGAAGTGGTTCAATGTGTATCTTTTTGTTTGTATGACTTGTTTCAAAATGTATACAGTTGTTTCATGTATTTGTAACTTTTTCATAAGTAATATTATGTTATTTATGTCATTCTCTGTGTTACTTGGAACTGTTTTTAACTCTTTTTTCACTTGAAACTGATTTTAAGATCCACCCATTTGTCTTGCACACACAGAACTCGTTGCTTCTAACTTCTGATTCGTACTCTATGGTGAGGATCAACCATATCCATGCGCACTGAAAACAAGCTATGTGCTTGTGGCAAGCTCTCCACATGGATTATTAGATTCCTTACAGCAACCCGAAGAGGTGGGCATTATTATTATTCCCATTATAGGGTTGAGGAAACTGACACAGAGTTAAGGGACTTGCCCCAAGTCACACAGCTGGAAGTGGTAGAGCTAGAAATGTAGCTCAGCTCTGTCTGGTGCCTGGGGAGAGCTCATGTGTGTAAGGTGCTACAAAGAGCTATAGAGAGAGGTCTGCCTGAAGGCTGAGGCTCTCTTTCAGGCGAGGGCACTCGGACGAGAGTTCTAGTCCTGACCAGATCCTGGCTTACCTATATACTGCAAACCACCTCCCTTCACCAGAGGTCACTTCATGTCTGTGTCATGTCAAGACAGAACAATTTTAATGCTCTTTCTAGATTCACCACCTGTTGATGAAACACCTTTAGCTAAAGGAAAAATAACTGGAATTTTAATCAGGTGTTTCCTTCCTTCCAGTGTCCCACCCGGGAGCCACTCCAAACACATGCAAAGCCTTTGGCAAGTCCGCTTACACGGTTCCTTCCTGGTAGGAATAACTATTCTCAGGGAAACAGAGTAGCTGCCTCTGGTCCCAGCCCACCTCTCTTGAACTTTGCACTTACCATGATGAAAAATTAACTGGGCTAACGTTTTCCTTCCAAGGACAACCTCTGTAAAAGCTGGGCCCCAGGAGACCAAGCGCCAGACCGAGATCCTATCCATCTGAGCCACCCACCCATTCATCGCCCAAGTCAAGGGAGCATGCAGGGTCCTCTTGGCACCAGGACGAATCTATTCCTTAGCCCTCCTCACTGCTTTGTGAAACTGGGCTTATTCCCCCAGTTCTTCCAGTGGAGAAACTGAGGCCAGAGGAGAAAGAACTAGCCCAGAAACTCACACGTGGGTCCAGCACTGTTTTTCTGCATGTGCAGCTGTCCCTGTCGCATGGATGCTGGCATGCAAAAGAAGGTCAGGAAAGTATGGCTAGTCACACTAACTAGCTGCTGACTAGTTCCTTCCTCCTCTCAGGAAAATGAGACGGCTAAATGAGGGGCCCTTCTGACGGCATGACTTTAGAGGGTTAGGTCCATGCCAGGCCCTTCCACTACGTTTAATCCCCAGGTCTCTCTTCGGCTCCTTCCCTCCACCATGCAAATCACATCCCTTGACTGGACATCACTTCTGCCTGCGTAAAATGAGGGGCTTGCATTGGAGAAGAACTATTTTAATGGTCTCTCTAGGTTCCCCACTCTGCACAATAAGAGTCGTTTACCCCATTCTTAAGCTAAGAGGACAGACACTTGGTGGGGTGAAGGGAGGGAGAGATCTAGGATTGAAAGCCGTGTCAGGCATTGATGGAGCTTGAGGTCCTTTCACTTTGACCACCTCTCAACAGCTGGACCTGCTTGATTCGATTCTGGTTAAAAGTAATGTTTTACTGGGAGGTGATGCCTGCAAGCGCCCGTTTCTCCCAGGCACACACCTCCCATCCCTTCGAGCTTCTCTAGGCTGTGAGCCCCTGGAGGTTAGGGACTTTCATTTTTCATTTCAGCGATCCCAGAAACAAGTCCCTGTCTAACTGAACTGAGCTCCCTCACCCGCGCCACTCTTCATGGCCTTTGCAGTGGCCCGAATGCATGATTCTCTTGCTTTACATTTGACTGTTTGCAAACCTTCTCACGTTGGATTCCCACAACCATTTCACAGGTGAGCAAACATTTCTTGCAGTGTCACAATAGCACGCCTGTGTAAAGAACTTTTGTTTTGCAAAGAGATCTATCAATGATGTCATCTTTACCTTCCACAACTATAAGGCTGGGTGCAGTGTCAAGAATGTGGACTGAGGCCTCACAAAGCGCTGTGTTCCCATCCAGCTCTGCTGCTGGGAATCCTGAGTGAGTATTGTAACCTCTGTAAATGGAAGGCATAGGGCCATCTACCTCCAGGGCCATTTGTGAAGATTAAATCAGAGGGCAGCACTTAGGCTGCCTGGAACCAAGAATGCCATCAATCTGTTGATTGTTTCCCTTCCTTTGCTTTTGTGTTGAGGACTGGGAAGAAGGGAGAGAAATCTAAGGCTACGGTGGCTGCGGGTTTGCCAGAGGACCAGCCAGGAACAGGAACCAGGCCCTTAAGCCCCACTTGGGGTTCAGGGATCCTCCTTTAAGGTCCCTGCAGGCTGGGACTTGGAGGGGAGGGCGAAGGGCCCCGAGCTCAGCAGCAGCCGCTGACTGGCTCCTTGGAGGCCATTCTCTCCGACAAGGCAGGGACCCCTGCAGTTTCTGGACTGACTCTGTGGATTCAGCTCAACCTCACAGGGCTTTGTAACTCCCCTGCTTGAAGGTTTGCAGATAACTTCTTTCTCACCACGGGAGTTTCCCGCTGTTAAAAACAAACAAAGGCCTTAGACACCAGGCTACAAGCCTCATAGGGGAGGGGCAGCAGGAGAAAGGCCCTGGAGGCTTGGGGTGACTAACTCCTGAAAGCAGTTGAAGGCTTTGTGGACAGATGCCCCCGAATTCTGCTGGTGGAGAGAAAATCCCGAGCTCCCCAAACCCCGGTTTTTCCTTGCTTTCCAAGGCTAACTTCTGAATACGTAAATTACCTGGGTGCTTCCCTTTGCCCCACTGTTCGCGAATTCACAGCTTTGGAAACAAAACTCTCCTTCTATTTATTGAGCGTCGAATTTCGGATCTTTCTTTATCATCAGATTCCAAACACCCTCTAATGTAATTTCCTCCCAAAGATAAATTCTAAAGCGCCCCCATTCATTCATTCATGAACTCAACAGATGCCTTTGAAGCCCATTTTCTACCGGGGACTCACTCAAGAGGCCCAAGGGACCCCTGGCTTCAGCTATTATCCAGCGAGTCACTGAGGTTCCCAAACGCCCACCTTTGAAAGCCCACTTCTCCCCGCTCCCAACTCCCTCCTTTGCACACAGTCTCGGGGCTTTCAGCCGGTGCGATCTCAGAGCTGAGAGACGATAAAAACAGCTCCTGGGTCGCGGGCACCCGCCAAGGCCCCTGCTGGGCATCAGTGCGCTCGCGTCCAAGTGCGCGCCCCGACTTCCTGGGCCTCAGCCTTCGGTGCGCCCCCTCTCGGACCTGGGTCCCCCCCGGGGTGCACCTCCAGCCTCTGGCCGGACAGCGCTCCTTCGCTGCGAATCTAACCCTCTCCGGCCCGCAACTCCAACCGAGCTTCCTGAGTGTGGGTTCCGCGCCGGGGCCCCTCTCTCCTCTCCTTTCCCACGACTTCCTCCGGCGCCTCCAGACTCAGGTCCGGGCCGCGCGGGGACCTGCGCTCTGCAGCCCCGGCCACCGCCGTCCCCGGTCGCCCACGTGGGC